AATCTTTCTTTTATTACAATGATTGTAGATATGAAACTTATTGCTAACACATACAATTTTGATAAAATATTGTACTAATGAGAATACAGAACAAAAGTCGGGTTGAGAATGAAATAGTTACTAAATAAAAGAACACGAAAATGAGTAAAATACATGTAAAAGCACATGTGATTACGTATTAGATCACGGACCAAGTCATCATACACTCATACATTAACCATGTTTCACAACCGTATCTAATTTTATCGTAAAATTAGATATGATTTGATCGTTTTTATATTCTTTTATTTTATATTGTTGTTGGATCATCTTTTTAGAAAACAATGCATTTACTTTAACATTTTAATTATTCAATTTCATTTAATATGGGATGGAACTTTTGTGTGAATAAATAATATTGTGGTACTAAAGATGGACGACCAAAAAATCACGTAGTGGTCACGTGACAAAAGTTAATAAGGGCAGGAAAGGGGTAGGGGTACCCTTGGCACTGGCTACTGGCCTGTGTCTGGTCAAAAAGATTGACTGTTTGACCTGAAACCCAACTCCTCCAACACCCTTCACATTAACATCTGTCTTTGCATATTTACTCAAATACCCTTTTTCCTTTTCTTTTCCTAAGATCATGGCTTCTAGTTTTATCAAGCAATCGTTCTGAGGTTGTATTTGTTTATGTTTCATTTTTTTGGACCTTATATTTATATAAAAGTTAGGGGTAGACTAAATGCACACATATATATATATATATATATATATATATACGGTTGAACATTAAAACTTATTTTTTTTATTTTTAATATATTTTTGATCTGATTCTGACATAAATAAGGATATATATAGCAACATCGAAATTTACTGGGTCTTCTTTAATTTGGTTTTTATGCAAAATGCTATGACCTTATAATTTCAATATACTGGAAGCATAGTAAGTCTTGTGAGAAAGAAAGAAGTAAAAACAACGTAACAATTTCTTTTTCCACACGATCGTTTAACACAAGAAATAAGTTTAAAATCTTGTTAGGCAAAACCGAGTGAATAGATATTTAATGTTTAATGCTTTTGACTCGTATATGTTTGGTTTATTGGTTTTTGAAGTATATAATATAATCAATATTATATACATGACAAAACTAACACACATTCCTCATCTTTGGTGATACTTGAATTTTTTGCCTCAGGACCAATAACCATTTGGTTATTCAATCGATTTCTTTTTTTGTTAACCATTGGTATCTGGATCAACTATCGTATACCTCGACTAATCCCAGAGGCTTTGGAGAATAACCAGGAAAATCCTGGGTGGCTTTGCAGAACATGAACTGGTGGCCTTATTGCTAGTCGAGTTAGGGCTGGTTATACTGAGACTCACATCTTATTTGGTCAACTATACATGACTTAATGATATAGAAAATGGATCATTCAGTTAGTTTTTCAGAAAGAGCTTTATAAAAAAGCAAAGTTTTTTTTCATCTATGAAAAAACTCTTTCAAACAAAATACATTATAATATATACAAACATATTTATCCATATAAGACTTGTTGAAAAACCAACCAGAAAGCCTTTTAGTCCCAAAAATAATAACGTTTATTGATTGGTTTATTATTAATGTAAAATGGTTTTCTCAATACCCAACGTGGTCCAATGAGATTGCACCTTTCCTCTAGCTCTTGGATCCTAGTCAAAAGCAACATAAAAGATCTCTTGGGATGATTTGAGCCACGATCTCCGGTTAACACATAAAAGGATCCCCCAATCCCATGGAGATTTGAGAAACAAACACACCACATCATGGTACGCTTCATGCCTTCAACTTTAAAGAATCTATGTCTTGATTTCAACAACTTTTTATATTTATTCTTCAACAAATTTAACTTAGCGTAATTGGTTACGTATAATTAGTAATCTTCAAGAAATCTATAAGTTATAACAATGCGTTTGAATTACTACTGTTATTGGGATTTTGTGATGTGTAATTCAATAATATTCTCGAAAATGATCCCTCTACTCTTTAAAATAGAAAAAGAATTGCATACATATTACTTACATATTCTGCATCTATCATCTGTGTGGAATTCTTTTGTTTGATTTAAAGATTGTTTGACAGTTGCTGAATGATTTGGTGCATAATGATTAAAAAACTCTCATTGTATAGTGCAAAATTAAATATAATTGTTTGATAATTATTTAAAATGAAATTAGAGCGCTGAATGGTTAAATGAGACTCATGATACAAAATCATTCAGAGGGAATTAGAATCATTAAGAGACGGACTTTTTTTTTTGCCAAACAATATTTACATCCTAACGATTCAGAGGCTGTCTCTTAATGGAACTATTAAGAAGTAAACAAACAACCTCTTAGTTAATTGAGATTTTGTGATTCATAAAACATCATGAACCGATTCAATCTTGCTAGGTGCTACAAGAGCATCTACAACTGATTTTTTAAAATTGTTTAATTTGTTCTTTATTTTGCTCTAGCAGATTGTCTATACTATTATTTATAATAGAGAAAAAACTTTAAGAATTCTTTATAAAATTTGATGTGAAGAGGGACAATTTTTTATTCACTTTGCCGATAAAATTGAATTATTATTATTTTATATAAATTATAGAAAAAGTGTTTGTGATTAGAAAAAAATTATAGAATATTTTAATAATATAATTAAAAATAATTCAATGATTTAATTAATACTGAAATTCTTTAAAATAGAAAATCTATTTAAAGTTGAATGTAATTATTTTGAAAATTTTAACTTCTAATTTTCTATTTAAACAATAAATTATAGGAAATCTCTCTAAAATGATTTAAGAGACTATTTTGTTGGTCAAGAGTTGTCTAAATTTTGTATGAATTATATAAATATAAACATTTCAGGGGATAATTACTTAAACGCTTACCCGATAAGCACTTGTCTCGGTAAGAGTATACACTCCGAGTGAATTCCAGTCAATCAAACCACATTGTATGCAATAATTTAACCAGTAAGTGTTAACTGAGTAATAGTCGTCATTGTTATTTACCGAGTAAAACTCTTGATCATGTTATCACTCTTCTTAGATAAATCTCTAGATCTTTGTCCTTGCCATGTATATCTGGTAAGATAAATTGTTTGATAAATATTTACCGGATCAGTGAAAAAAGAAGTTAACCATCATAATTATATTTTTTTATATTAAATTACTGATTATTAATTTGCAGAAATATATGATTTATTATGGTTGAAATTTAGTTACGATGCACTGTGGTTTTTAAAAATAAAAATGCTTTGAAAACCGGAACATACAAGATGAATGTCAACCAAATACTACCTGCAAAAAGCTAAGTTAAAAGCATACCTACCATATATCACTCATCATCATATCTGAGTTTGTATATACTACAAGCTACAATAGATTTTTAATTATTCATAATGGATAGTATTAATTTTAGGATAATCATTATGAATATTAAATAATGTTTGAGATAAAGTAGATTTAATAATATTTTATAGTTATTTATTACGAATAATTCATAAAATAATTTTTTTTAGTTTATTAAATATTTATAGCTTTTATTTAAATTTATTTATATGAGGACTTAATTGTTTGAGAATTTCTTATGTTATAATAACCGTAAAATTTTTTATATTAAAGTATTTTTTTATATTATATTTTTTTATATAAGAGTAACATTTAATATATTGATAAATATATATATGTTTTTCGATGTGCTTATTTCATATGTATGCAGTTTATGATGTGAAATTTTTACTTGTAACTTTTGTCTTACAAAACAAGTAAAAGATTTACATTGTCAAAACAAATACATGTGCAATAAAGACATTGTGAAACAGATATATTTTTAATCGGTATTCCAAAGCTTAGTCTTAAATGAAAAAAATCATATGAATTAACAAATTATGTAGTAATTCTTAAGGTTATCATAATTTCATGTGGTTTAAAAAAGGCTCCGCCTACGACTAGCTATATAACCATGGTCAACTAATACGGAGGTTACTATTTATTTTTATTATTGTTCGTTCTTACACATTCTTGTTCTCATGTGCTTTGGTTCTCTTTCAAAGTCCCTGAAAAGTAATTCACCATTTCTTGTTTTAGCTCATGTCTCATATTTATTAAACATCATTACTCTTTACAGTAATCGAAAGATTTACTTGCATATTTTCTTTTAAATCCTATTTCTAAATCTGATATATTGAAAATATTTTGTTTGGTTTATTATATATCATATTAAAAGGCTCGAATCGTATATTTTTCGGTGTTTTATGAAGAGATTTGTGAAGGAACACTTGAAATATGGTCACATTCACAGATCTTGAGCCAAAGTGAGCTACGACGGCCGTTGTCACGTGCCTTTTAGAACAATGATTTTAGCATAGCCGTTGAAGCAAAAAAATTCTTAAATCTTTCAAATATTCTATTTTAGTGTAACGGTTAGAGATCATTTTGAATTCTAATTATCCGTTTTAAAGAATTTGTTGAAATTGCCTTTTATATTTTGATGTATTTTACCCATTACTGGATATAAAACTTATTCTAAATTCTTACGTCCTATTTTTGTCTGTTAATCACATGAATACACATCATCATAAAAAATAATGTAAATAAAAATATGATATGTCTCGATTTTGTTATGAATATGATAGTAAGTTTTATTTTATAAGTAAATCTTATTATTAAAAAATAAAATTAATTCCTATTTATTTTTAAAATATAATTATATGATCATAAAAATTAAAACGACAAGATTTATTAAATATTATAAAATCAATTGTGATTTTCTTCAAAGGGTAAATAGATTCTATAAAGAGATACTGACAAATGCTTTATAACCGTGGTTAAAGTTAATCACACCTCCCCCTCCTCTTGTTCTCTCTGGCGCTCTCATTATTCAATTTCTCTAGAGAGAGAAAACTTCTCCCAATAAATAAACCACACACGACTAGAGAAAACAAAGTCAGTCTGCGAGTGATTTTGCTTGTTTGCTGCTACCGGAAATGATGGTGTTCGGTCACTCAGGGACCGGCGGAGGTTTCCTTCCTGGAAAACAACAGGTTTTTCCGGTGGACTACGAAGCCGACGTTTCTCAACGCCTCCTTCAAGCTTCCTCCTCCGGCGATCTCAAATCGGCATTTGATTGTATTGACGATCCCTACGTTGACGTTAACTTTGTCGGCGATGTTTCCTTGAAGGTTCGTATGGCGGAGGTTCACTGCCGCGATGAATCGGAGAATGTGGTGCGATTTGAGTATAAGGACTTCAAAACCGACGTTACTGCTTTGTTCGTCGCCGTTCATACTGGAAATACGACACTCGTCAGAAAATTACTGGTATAAAATTTTGAAACTCTGTTTCATTGACTGTATTTAAGTTGACCTCCGGTATTTAAGTTTACAAATCAGATCATTGCATTCGAACATTTTAAATTCCACATTAAATGCTCTTGTATGATTAAACTAATTACACTTTTGATTTCCTGGATGCGACTTCTTGTTGGTGTTTTTGTAAAATACAGTTTATAGTAGTAGGAGCGGTTTCAAATAAAAAGTATATGAGAAGGTAAGTAAGTTAACAGATGGTTCATCCTGGAAAATTCTATTTGAAGATGCATATATGAATCAATGTTATAGATTATTCATATGAGTTCACATATACATCCTCAAATGTAGTTTTTCAATATGAATCGGTTTTTAACCTTTTAGAGCTAGAATTTATGTTCAAAAAGCATCAGCTGTTTGTACAATGTTTAAGAAACAATGGATGCAGTTTTCTTTGGCTCCATTGATGATTATTTGTGAAATCTAAGCTTGTATTCGTGTATTAATTCAAAATTTGAAGTACGTGCACATTTTCAGTGAGTAATTAATTAGTGGTAAGTTTATTTTTACACTTGCCTCTTTTATAATCCATAAAACTGAATCCGTGCTACTTGATTTCAGCTATATGCTTTGTTTTATATTAGCTAATGTTTCTTCTAAATTTTGAAGACTTATAACTTCAAATCATGAATACTCGATGCTTTTGAAATGCAAGTCGAAATGGTCGATGTAGAAATTGTACATTCATAGCTTGAAATTGGTAGCTTAAGCTTTTAGGTAATGGTTTGAAAATGTTAATATATATCCTTGAAGGTCAACCTATAAACAAGAAGCTAACACAAGCTGATTAAGCCTTGTTTAGCTACTCTCACATCAGAGCACTATGAGGTCAATCGGAATTTATAAGTGGTATTTTGCAGGTATTTCTGAAGTGAGCTAGTGAATTGATGAAAACTAGAATGCTCCATTTGACCCAAAATGCTCTTCCTAATGTGACATTAGCTAAGCAAGGCCGAATCAATTTGTATTAGCTTCTAATATACAGGTTCGCCTTCAAGGATATATGTTTAACATTTTCAAAAAATTACCTGACAACTTAAACTACCAATTTCAAGTTATTGGTCAAAATTTGCGGGTCAAATGAAGTTTATAAGTGGTATTTTGCACCTACAAGTGGCTACACCGCAAATTCCTTATTTTTTTGTTTTCATCAACATGGAGTTTATGCTCTCAATACCAACAAATATCTAAAACGTTAGGTATATCAAGGCTTCCATGCATATGTGAATAGAAAAATGAATTCTACCTTTTTATGGTTATTTTTGTGTCCATGTTATAGTCTATTGTTTGCCTAGAGAAAGTCTTAGATCTGATTTAATTCATGGTTATAGGTGGGCTTTGACTTATGGTACTTGCAAATCACACCATCCTAACCAGATTAAACCATGCTATGTGGTTTTCTAACTAAATGGTTATTACCTTCATTTCAAAACAAATACCTATTATAAAAATTACACTACATTAGAAGTGTGTAATATTATTACACTTGAGGATATTAATTTATTAAGCCAGACAATTCTCTTATATATATATATATATATATATTGATTTTTAATCCACCGACTGCCTAATTGAATAAGCAACACAGGATTAGAGCTTACACGTGTTAAGAAGATCCATCTTTTTCATGGAAATCCATGTGATTTGTGACCCTGAATATTCAAATAAATAATTGCTCTATGGAAAAGAAGTGGACGTGCATGTATCTAATAACAGTGAGGCCCATTCCATGCCGCCTCTACACTCTAAACTCCTGGTCAGCATATGAAGCGATTCACAGCAACACCTTTCATGGGCTCACTGGAAGTCCCATGCATTAGTGTCCATCACATCAGTAGCTCGATTCCCATCTTTTGTCTGTGTGTGGCCATGCCCATCTGGACTGAAGGAAGCATCCCGTATAGTTTAATTAAGGAAATTCACCAAAATAGCTATTTCAAATTCCCTAATTTATTTTATAGCTATTTTTCTACTTAATTGAACAAAATAGCGAAAACAAAATCTGCCTTTGATATATTTAATATTCATAAAGTGACACTTTAACAAATTGTTAGAATGCTATATACGAATATTTTCACATATTCTCACATTGTGTCAGAGTCAAAGTCTACATCTGGGAGTTTCATGTTCCTATAAATTGCTAAAAGGTTACTTGTTAAAATTTGGCTATTTTGATGAATTATATTAGAAAAGAGGCTTTAAAGTAAATTGGATGGCTTAAAAATGGCTATTTTGGACAATTCCATACACTAATAAACTATTGATCTGGGTTTGCATGTTAAGCAAACAAAAAAAAGAATAAAAGAATACTATGCTTCCCCAGTGGGTTTCTATTTGTCCATTATGCGAAATGACAACGTTTTTTTTTTTGATTATTTTGGTAAATGACAGAACCGTGGAGCCGATGTGAATCATAAACTATTTAGAGGCTTTTCAATGACAGCGGCAGTAAGGGAGGGCCATCTTGAGATCTTTGAGATCTTAATTAAGGCTGGTGCTTCTCAGCCTTGTTGCGAGGAAGCTCTACTCGAGGCCAGCTGTCATGGACGCGGAGGAAAATTTATCGAGTTGTTAATGGCTTCGGATATGATACGGCCCCATATCGCTGTTCATGCTCTTGTCACAGCATGCTGCAGAGGATTTATAGATGTGGTTGATGTCCTCTTGAAGGTAAAACATCAGTATGTCGGTTGTTGAGTAATAGTTGCTCATCAGAAGCTATTGATAATTGAAGCATCTTTTTAAAGTACAACATATGGATTATTAGATTAAGGGTCAGTTTACCAAAAGTTGGTTGAGCATGACAAGGACCAAAAATCTTACCTTGTAAATGAGGGAGAATGACTTTCTTGGTTAGTGCTTACTGGGTAAGAGACGTATACCAACAATCCATTTTGATTGCTGAAAAAGTTACCCAATAAGGAAGGATAAAAGTCACTTGTCCCAATTTTTCACGTCCCATTCATGTCCATTGCCCACCAATCACGTGAATACATGTAACTAGAGAACGAATATGAATATGAATTAAATAAATAAAAATATGATGTCTTAATTTCACTGTTAGGAAAGGAATGGGACGTTTAATTTTGGGACATTTGATTTTCATCCTGGATGGTGATTTTTGTTGGTAAGCGCTTACCCAATAAGCGTTTGATAAACGATCCTTAACATTTTGAAATCTAGCCACACCAATCATCTTTGAAAACGAATTGCAAGATTTCTCCTTACATTTTTTTAATCATGCAACGCATTAAAGTTAAAAGATATCAACCAATAAGACTATTTTTGACAAACTCACTGATAAGCTAGTTGTTAGCGGATAAACTAGTCATGTTTTTAATAATTAGCTTGTGGCTTAAAAGGACATGATGAACAATATGGGTGGCATAATTGAAAAAAGACGGGTGGCATAATTGTAAAAAGGTGAAAAATGCCTATGGAAAGCTAGCTTATAAGCCAATTATCAGCTAACCAAATGAAACTTCTACAATAAGTTTAAAAAGATTAGTTTATAGTTGTCAAACGGGCAAACTTGCATGTTATCTTCTCCATTGTTTTCAATACTAAGGTTGCATTCAATCTCTAACATGATTCTTTTTTGTAACAACAGTGTGGGATAGATGTAAATGCATCTGCCAGAGTGTTGCTCTGCTCATCTAAGCCTTCTCTCCATACAAATATCAACTGCACACCCCTTGTGGCAGCCGTTGTTAGTCGACAAGTTGCTGTTGTTCGCCTGCTGTTGCAGGTAACCTGTTAATCTAAGTCTCAAGGTTTGGAATCTCGTGAAGCCGGCCTGATTTCGTGAGACTCGTGAGATCACAAAGTAACACTGAACCTTCACTATAAAACAATGTGAAGTTACAAAAGAACACCGAAGATTCACAGTAAAAACACCGCAAAGGTTTGTTTTTGTATGTTCTTAGTGTTTTTGCTGTGAAGGTTCCGATTGTTTTTGTGCCTTCACAGCTGCACTCACGGGTCTCACGGAAACAGGCTGGTCTCAAGAGAACCCAACACTCTAATCAAGTTCATGATTTTAACATGAATTATGATCTGCCAAATTGATTACTTGTGTTTAATTGTTAATCGTTATATGCGATTTATGCCTTTTATGTTAATTGATATCATATCATAACATCATCCCAAAAGTTGCATTAACTTCTGTATGGATACTGGGATTTGGATTGAAATCCTTCTGACGCTATCTTTTAAGGATTCTGGGGAGTGGGGACCTGTAGTATCCTTGTTACAACAAGTGTCGAGTACAGCTGGACTTTTGGAGCCATTGATGTTTATACGGCACTTGCATCATAATGGTTCACCAAATGGCACCAGAAATTCAGAAACTGAGTTTGTCCAGTAGTTGGTGGTTGGTATTCAGAACTGTTCAATGAATTAATATCTTATCCTTTACCATGGTAGATAGTATTATTCTACTTCACTAGGAATTGATCGTAAAAGCCAAAATGTCGAATAAATTCATTAAGTTATTACTTATTAGAGTCGGTAACGGTGCACATTAAACCTGGCCAGGACAGGCCCTAAAAGGACCAGTCCTTTTAGGCGAAAAAAGACCAACCTCGGTCCTTTACGCTCCAAAATCGTCTAACCGGTCCTTTATGCACCTCTACATGTTAGAGTCCCGAATCAGCTAGACTTTGACAATTAGACACTTTATATTCAAGGCATATTTGAACTGGAACGTAGGAACTATTTTGAGCTAACTATTTGTGTTTTGAGATATTATTTACGAAAGAGACCTAGGTTCATTGAAAAACTACATGGTAAAATAAGGAATACGCCGATAACCATTTATTTGTTTGCTATGTACAATTGTGTAAAAGTAATTGAAAATGTTTTTTGGTTTTTATGTACGAGTGCATACTAGACAAATGAATGGTTAATAACACATTTCCAACGAAGGTTCTTATAAGAACAAACTTTTTGTACTTTTTCTTATCACATTATTTCCATGTCACTAAATTAAAAATCTACATAAAACTTCATAAAGGTAGTTCTTATAAGAAGTCATTTTGTAGGTCTTATTTATTTTTTTCAATATCAATATTTTTATAAAAAACTATTAAAATACCAAAAAATATATAATATAGAAAGCCCATTAAAATATCATTTCACACAAACATAAATGTTATAGGGACATACCCATTATGGTGGTTACGATGGCATATGATTCTTCCGTTGTAGTGTAAAAATATTTAGGTTGGCAAAAGGTGCATCTGTATCGATTTGTTGTGTGTCACTATATATATTTTGAAACTACGATAAAGACACAAGTTTCCTTTGGTAAAGTTGATTTGCAAGGTTTTTCTCTATTCTAGACCCGAGTTGGAATCCTCTTAGTGTCATTTTCTTAGTTTTTAGTTTCATATTTATTATGTTTTTGAAAAAAAAAACTGCAATAAAAAACTTAAACACATGGTCCTCACATATGAAAAATAATGAACTAACCAACAAGCCAATTATTATGTTATAAAAATATAACGTATATTTGTTTTTATAGTCAAATAATGTCACTGATTAAAAAAATTTATGAGTCCATCCCTATATGTTAAAATCAAGGTTTTGTATGAAAACTTAAAGGATGTAGGTGTCTTATGAGAAGTTGAGAACTCTCCGATAATAATTCAGAACATCCACTTTTTTCTCACAAGACAAGTTGCTGAGTTTTTATGTTTTTATTCTTTTTCTCCGAACACAAACATGTATAAATATATTAATTTCAAACAGCTTAAAGATAAGGCATTATTTGCTTGCCACAATCATGGAACTAACGTAAAGCTTGTTTTTTGTTCTATTTTTCTTTCCTTTAACAACAAAGGCTGGAGCCGATGTCAACATCAAGGTTCAACTAGGAGCATGGTCTTGGGATATGGGTTCGGGTGACGAGTTTCGGGTCGGAGCTGGACTAGCGGAGCCGTACGCCATAACTTGGTGTGCGGTCGAGTACTTTGAAGCCACTGGTGCCATCTTGCAAATGCTACTCCAACACATCTCCGTCGACACGTGTCACAATTCTAGAACCCTCCTTCATCACGCCGTACTTTGTGGTAACACCTCAGCCGTCAAAACGCTAATAAAATGTGGGTCCGACATCGAATACCCATTTAAATCCACCCAAAAGAACGAAACGCGACCCGTACACATGGCTGCCCGACTTGGATTCCCATCGATTCTACAGCAACTGATAGAATCGGGGTGTGATATTAATTCAAGAACCAAATACAATGGCGAAACTGCTCAAATGATTTGTGCCAAGTATAAACGGGAAGAGTGTCTCCGAGTCTTGACCGAGGCTGGTGCGGACCTCGGTTCGATCAGTTTGGCGGGTCAGTCCGCACGGTCTATTGCCGAGTCGAACCGATGGTCTCTTGGCTTTCAACAAGCAGTACTGGGCGTTATTAGAGCCGGAACGATACCGAAATCCAGTAATCCGTCTGTCTTTTCGGCTCTAATGTTCGTAGCTGATTCAGGAGATGTACACGCGTTGAAAGCTCTAATCGTTCGAGAAGAAATTAATCTCGATGAACAAGACGAGAAGGGGTTTTCGGCGGTTATGGTGACGGCAATGAGAGGTCATATCGAAGCGTTCCGGTTACTTGTCTATGCCGGATGTGATGTGAAGCTTACTAATAAAGCCGGCGAGACCGCCATTTCTCTATCGAAAATGAACGAGAATTCCGATATGTTCGAGAAGGTAATGATCGAATTCACCCTCGAAAAAGGTAACCAAAATGCGAGAGGGTTTTATCCACTACATTACGCCGCTCGTCACGGCGACTTGCATGCGGTCAAACTGTTGGTCAGCAGAGGATACGACGTAAATATGCCGGACGGGGATGAACACACACCGCTCATGTTAGCAGCAAGAGAAGGGAATTCGCAAATGTGCGAAGTATTGATTTCGTACGGATCCATATGCGATTTCGAGAATTCAAAAGGCGAAACCGCACTGTCACTTGCGAGAAAGCACACCGAGAAGGAGGCAGAATGCGTGATATTGGACGAGCTTGCGAGGATGCTAGTTCTTAGCGGGGGTGACGTATTGAAACATACGAAGGGAGGGAGAGGATGTTCACATATGAAATCGTTGAAAATGATAGCAGGTGGAGTTTTAAGATGGGGGAATTCGAAAAGGAGAAATGTCATTTGCGAGGACGCCGGGGTGGGACCAAGTGCGAGTTTCCAAAGATGTCGAAGGAAGAAAGGCGATGCCGAGAGAGCGGGGATCTTCTGGGTGGTGACGATGAAGAACAAAGAGGTGCATTTTGTGTGTGACGGCGGGTTCGAAATGGCGGAGTTGTGGGTGAGGGGGATAAAGATTGTGACAGGAGCAGCTCGGAAACAAAAATAGTAGGGTTTTTCTAACTCCACCCCCTCCTATAGATGCATGTGAGGGGGATGTGATTGTGTAGGGGGTGACTATGTGAGGGTGAGAGTGAGGAAAAATTGTGAGGGTGTGAGTGAGGGTTGGTGTGAGGAGGAGGGGGTGAAAAGTGATGTAAGGGGGTGGGGATATCAACCCCCAAATAGTATTAGAGGTAGCGTTTCTTTTAGGCAAATTGCATAAAAATGCATCATATTTTGTTCTGATTTTTATTTTGGGTAACATATTTTTATATCCTTCGTTTTGGTATTTGAGATGTAATATCTTATATATCAAAATGAAGGTTTGTAAATATATTACCTAAAATAGAATTGGAACAATAGATTGCAATTGTATGTAATTTGTTCTTTATTTTTCTAGGATGGGAGCTTTTGTATGTGTAGATATGGTACCATGAGCATGAAATACTTCCTCTCGAAGTATTCTTTTCTATCAAATAAATCTAAAATTTTCCTATATGTACCCAATTTTTTCATATGATAAAAAAAGCTAAACAACTAAGTCACAATAAAACTGAGTATACTAAAATTTCTACTGCCTAGGGTAAGTGAATAAGGTAGTGTTTGGTATGAAAATATTACTGGATTGGATATGACTGGATAAGATTTGAGTGGATAGGACAATAGAAGAATACTAGATTAAACATGACTGGAAAAGACAAGTTGTCTGTGTAATATTTGACACGACTAGATTCGGATAGCTGCCTGTAAATGTTGTTTAATGATTTTTTTATTGTTGTTACCGGTGGGTTTTTGTCATTTCTTATATCACATCAAACGTAAAGCCGTAGGTTTTTTTTGTATCATGTCCTTACAATACCATCAAATCTTCCAAATGCAGCCTAAAAGAAACACATATGGACTTCCCTCCCCCAACAAACTATAATGCTGATGGGAGAGGAAGTCAATAACAGAAACCAAAGAAAAGTACAGATTGTGGTCCATGAAATACCCAAAAAAGGTTGTCCTCTCCGGAAATCTTGGGTTTAATTTTGTTTTTATAAGTGTATGTTCTACACCTCTTTATTATACATTAACATAAACCATTTCAGTCTTTCTGCAAATGTAATTACATCAAATGACCCAATGACACTAAAAGCACCAACAATTTATGGGTTTAATTTCCAAAATCTGAAAGTGGTAAAACAAAAACTTTATCCTTATTTGATACAAGATGAAAAATGTGATCTTCTGGTCAAACAAATTACCTCCTACAACTGAAATAACCAAAGAAATTGTAGGTTTTTGACTTTTTGGTACCAAGCAATAAGAGAACAAGTTTGTATACCGTAACATATTTACTAGACATATCATGATACAATTCTTCATCAAGAATAGCAATCAACTTGGGATATAAATATTTATACATATGCATTTGGTTGAATATTTTTTTAAACGACAACTATATATTACCAAAAAAAGAGAACAAGTACAAAGAAGAAAACATAACATAAGGTTCGTAAGAAGCATCACTCATCAAAGCCGAAACAAACAACTTCTGTTGCTATATATTTACCTTATCTTTTATACACATCTTTTTTTGACATAAATGCATATAAATGAAAAGTCGAGAACCGGATTTCCGTTGTGTACCGGAGAACCAACAAATTTATCATGAATAACGGATGTGAATTTTTTACAACATGATGAATGACTTGTCTATTTCTTACAACATGACATATTCTCGGTGGTTTTCAGTTCACAATGGGAATGTGATTTCTCATGCAGAACTAATCTATGCATATACAAAATTCTGGTTGGGTTAGATGATTAACCTTGGTTTTATCAATGATTTTAAAAATAATAGTTATACGAGATTAGAGATGGTTTAATTTACAAACTCAACCATTAGTATAAACCATACAAACAAATTAATTGAGATATTTATAAAAATTATGAGGATTCATTTATTATGATTTGAAGATTTATGAAAGATTATCAGAATTTATTTATTTATTTATGATCAACGCTTTATTTTATGAAACAACCGAGATATTCATTGGACTAAATGGACATTTAAGATCGATTTAGAAAGATTTAACAGCTTGTGATAGACGTACGCTCTATGATAGTAATTTACAGATAAAAATCACTTGTTTCAAAATGACACGTTTTTCCTTTCTTGTCATATCAATAAAATTAAGAACACATAAGTTTTTTTTTAATTCATTTAATTCATATTCATTTTCGACAATAAAATTTTTTTACATATGATTTTTATCCGTAATTTATAACTATAATTTTGAAGCCCTGTCATTCTTGGAAACTTGGATGGGTCTATTTTAAAAAAATCAACAGTAAGCCCAAGCCCAATCCCATTTCAACGATCCCTTACCAAGGAGGGAGGCGAGGCTAAAGTGACTCTGTTGAGTATAGAATGCATTCGTTGATCGACGACGAATAAACAACATCGAATCGAAATCTCCAGGGTTTTAGAGGGCTTTAAGCTTTCTCCGATCTCTATCGTTTGCTGTTCATCACTGAATTATTGGAAAATGTCAGGCGCAGCTCAATCTTTCAGTGGCAATCTTAAGGTACACTTCTATGTCGATTCTGAAATTTGTTTTTGTTTATTTGTATATCGGTTTTCTTATATAGTATATGTATGTTCAAGTGTTTGGATTCTATTGAATTGGTTGATGAAGAGATCTCTGGGCACGCTATCTGTTTGCAATTATCGGAAATTGTAATATGATTTGTTTAAAAATTGTAATCACACTTCTACTGCGGGATTTATAATCATCCAATTGGATTCTGAACAATTTATTCTTCCTGGTGACGTCTGTGTGAGGATGTTGTAGAACTCTAGCATTTAGGCCTATGTTTTTATCATTATAGTAACTAGATAGGAGCGGAAGTGTTGAACAATAGCCTTTTATTCTCGATTAATATTGATTATTCTATATTCCTGTGTTTATTAGAAGCAAACTTTTAATACCATTTGGTTAGTTATAGATGTTGATTATCTGTGGTGACTTGTAGTCTTGTACTCTTGTAGCAAGACGAGGTCATTAGGAGAGGTAGATGTTAGTTAAGATTGACATGGAGTAGTGAAGAGACAGTTGCATGAGTGGTGTCTATCAAAGGATTTGGCCCTATATTCAAAAGGACCCCGTTCATGCTAGGAGCCCTAGCGGAGTAGGGGGTTCACCGGTTAAAGTTTACATTTGTGTTGCACTTTGTTGGACTTTGTGCTATGCAGATGATTCAGCAAAGTACAAGTCTTTTATGCTTTCAACAATAAAGACCTATTCTGGAGGGCCACGTCTACTTAGATAGGCTTTGATTTCTTCTTTGTTTATTCCTATTTTTTAGCCTTTTTATTTGTAGCTTTCTCTCTCTGTTTTGGCTATAAAAGCCTGTAGTTGCTGCTGATTCGAATAAGAGAAAACATTGTTGGCTTCTCTATAAGTTTGTTGTGTTCATATTTGTTTCCTGTTTAAGTAATACTACTCTTCAATTGGTATCAGAGCACCATCCAGGGCCCTGATTTCTGAAAGTAGACACAGGCAAACACGAGTGACATTGTGAGGCAAACACGAGTGTGAGCGCAAACACAACAACTTATTCGATCCGATACAGAGAGTAACCAGGCATGTCGAACGAAGGACAGAACCTGCTAAGCATTCCGAAATTTGACGGCGATTATGATCATTGGAGATTGTTGATGGAAAATCTCCTTCGGTCGAAAGAATGGTGGCACCTGATTGAGCCTGGCTACGTTGAGCCGGCGGCAGGCGTAAGAGAGACAGASGCGGAGAAGACTGCACGAGAGCAGTTGAAGCTGAAAGATTTAAAGGTAAAAAACTATCTTTTTTCAGCAATCGATAAGAATGTTCTGAGGACTATTCTGCAGAAGGAGACCTCTGCACAACTTTGGGAGTCTTTGAGGAAAAAATACCAAGGTAATGCRAAGGTAAAGAGAGCTCACCTACAAGCCCTCAGAAGAGAATTCGAAGTATTAGAGATGAMAGATGGAGAAACTATAACCGATTACTTCTCGAGAGTAATGCTGGTGGTAAACAACATGAGCAACAATGGAGAAGTAATGCGGGAATCACAGATTGTAGAAAAGATTTTGAGAACTCTCACGGAGAAGTTTAACTACATCGTGGTGTCCATTGAAGAGTCCAAAGACATCGCTAGTCTCTCCGTTGATGAGCTTCAAAGTTCGTTGGTGGTTCATGAACAAAAATTCAGGAAGAAGGTTAAGGAAGAAGAACATGTGCTGAAGGTGACTCAGGAAGAAGGATTCGGAAGAGGTCGAGGTCGAAATGCAAGTGGAAGCTATAGGGGTCGAGGAAGACGGAGACCTTCACCAGGAAAGGCTGCCGTGGAGTGCTATAGATGTCACAGACTGGGACATTWTCAATTCGAGTGTCCAGAGTGGGGAAGAAGGGCCAACTTTGCAGAAATGGATGAAGAGGAGGAGGAGCTTATGCTTATGGCATATATTGAACATCAAGGTAGTTCAATTGAGGAGTTTTGGTTCTTGGATTCAGGCTGTAGTAACCACATGAGTGGCAACGAAGAATGGTTCACAGATTTGAATAAGAATTTCA